AAATAGCAAAAACTTGTCGATCGTAATAAAATAATTCATTGTTGGAAAAATAACAATAAATATTTCATAAATGTACCGTATAAATATTTAATGAAGATTTATTATATTTAATGTGCGTGTTAACTATAAGAAGTTATAATATTTATATGTGACATTTAATTTTTGTAATGATAATATGGAAGAGAATAGTAAGTTAACGACCATAATAAATTTGAATTAAAAAAGACTAATATAACCAATGCAGATCAAATTTTGGTATAGTTTGATGAAATAATCCAAAGGCCAAGAGACAAGCCTTGTATCCTTCTTTATCGTCCAATGAGGAGCTTAAAATTGAAAAAAATTCTAGCAGCCTATTTCGCACTACTGTCTTCAATAACGTTTAATTTAAACGTTTCGCCTACCTGAAACCCGAAGTGGATAAAAAGAAATGTAGGTCAGCTACTAATATGCTAGTCAGACGCCAAAAGCACTAAGTCTTATAAACACATGCAGTCGTTTCCACATATAGTCGATTCCAAAAAGTTCCTTTGAATCTTTGATTTTTTGTTTGTTTATTTGTTGTCTGTTTATTTTTTATCTCTTTTTTATCTTATTATCGACATACTTTTACTTATAAGGCTATTGCAGATATTAAGAGATTTGTATCTACCATATATCATTATTACGACATTTTGTCTCAATATTACATTTAGCCTCATTTAGGAGTATTGACATATTCATTAATTGTGAATTATTCCAAACATGTTTGCTTTGGTGCGTTTGCTGTTAAATTTTAAGTGGTATTCAGTGTAAAGATAACAGGTAAAGCAAGAATAAAATATTGTTTTTTGTAAGCGTTTTCCAATAATAAGTTTGTCAAGAGCTGTTAGAGAAACTATTAAAAACATTTTTGTTTTAAATAACGAAGTTCAATAGTTCTTACGACAAGAGACTCGCATTGATTTTACTGTTGTTGTTAACTTAACTGTTGAGATAGATGGGTTATTGTTCTATTTATTCTGCATTGCTCTTCTATCTAAGGAGATTTTTGTGCATCGTTGTAAAGAGCTGATTATTCTTCATCTGGTTTCGTATCTCTCCAACTATACAATTTATATCTAATGTCCTACTTTATGCTCCGTTTTTGATATGTTTAATAAAATACTTCAGTACGAAAATAAACATTTCAAGTGTTTTATTGATAATGTATTGTCTTGCGAAACGGAGATGTTTTATTAATTGGTTGCACTATCTCCAAACATAACTGTCATGATTTTATCTTCCTATCAATGTGAAATATTATACCGTTATCATGTGCAAGCAAATTGATACTTCAAGCTCTTATTGATAATGGTTTTGATGAATTGTTAAAATTTCGTATTTTCTTATACTGCTTCGAAAACTGATTGTTATCGCTATAAAAAGATAAAACTTTCAAATGAAACATGATTTCTAGCCAGGTCATCACAACCTCATCTATTATTACGTATACACAACCAAATTTCATTGAAAGGATTGTCAGAGGTGAAACCCAATCTTTCATTTATGTTAAGCAGTTATGCGTTTAGCTTATAAAATGTATAGATCCTATTTTGACTGCACTTTCTATTTTTATTTTAAGCCACTATATGAGCTGTGAAATAAATTAATTTTGAAGTATTATTCTTTTTTGAAAAAAAGGAAACGTTTGAAATACGTTCTCATTTACATTAAAATATAAAGGATATTAAAGTTTTTTTCTATAAATACAGGATTTATTTTCATCGAGTGGTATTCAAATAAATATTTCATGATTGGCAGTAGCCCCGAGTGGAATATGATAATTTTCATACCACAAGATGAAAATAAATCCTGCATTTATAGAAAAAATTAGAATTTTCTGCTTATTATATACATTGTTTGTTGTTGTTGTTTTATTTTGTTTTTTACGTACAATTTGAAAGACCCCCCCCCCCCTCTTAAATTGTATGTTTTGGCTGAATTTAGAAAATAAAACATTATGATTAGACATTTATACACCGTTTATTTCAGACATATCCATTGTTATTACCCATTCAAAATGGAAAATCTCTTTAACTGCAAACATTATCTACAACAATTAGGCAATGTATACACATACATTTGTATAAGCTGCTGCAGTGATTTAATATCAATCTTAAAGCGGCTAACACAGCGTGATGTCAAGTAAAAAAATTTTTAGAAATAATTTAAAAGAAGAAATAACATGCGAAAGGTAATGCTTTAAATATAAAAAAGTTAAATTTATGGTATTCATCGGAAAAGATAAGTAAATAAATAATATTAGGTTGCAACCTTTTAATTGTTCAATCAAGCAAACAAATATATTTTCTCTTTGAGTAATGACTGGAAATTTCGGAACATCAGATATATAAATAGGTAACCAAATGCCCTTCTTTGAAATATGTACGTCACATTGTTTTAAACAGAAGATGTAAATTAGTATACGGCAAACTTGATTCACAAATGTGCTTGAAACTATCCATAACGTGATAGTATGACTATGACCAGCTGTAACTTTTAAACCAACATCAGCATTAGTTGATGGATCAATCTCATTTGTGAGTTACACAATTCGGGAATGCTGTATCATGGGATACTATGTGTAGACAAATGCTTCTAAGCTTAGACTTTTAAATGCACAATAAAATCTTATAGTAATATTAATAATAATAAATCATGGTCTTACTTGACTATCGTCTTTAACTAAATGGCCCTGAATCTTTTCTTACAATTTTTAAGATATTAATAGCTTAGTGCTTGATAGTCAGTAGGACAGCAACGCTCAACTATTCTTAAGTAGTGCTTGACAGGAAAAAAGCCTTGATAATGTAAAATTTTCTAAGTTAACAAAAGGGCATTTTTCCCTTTAAAACCATGTTACAGTTAGGCCTTGAAGAAAGTCCACTTACGCTCTCAAAAAAGGGTAAAAAATTTCAACTTGTTTCAATGCCAGATGTCAATAGAATATGAAAATATCTGAGGTGGTATACAAACTTAAATGTAAATTCTAAGTCAAACAATGGGCATAAATAAAGTCTGTCAAAATGCTTGATACAGTTACCTCCTCCTGTCTACAGGTTAGGGTCATAATAATGAAAAAGTGTGCAAATTTTATTTTCAAAGCCATAAGTCAATGGACTTTGAAAATATTTGAGGTATTACAAAAACTTTAACGTAATTTCCAAGTCGAGAAAGGGGCATACTTCTGTCATAATTCTGTCAAAATGCTTGATAGAGTTACCTCCTTCTATCTAAAGGTTGGGGTTATGACGGTGAACATGTGTGCTAAGTTTCAAGGCCATATGACAATGGACTTTGAAAATATTTGAGGTATTACAAAAACTTTAATGTAAATTCTAAGTTGAAAAGGAGGCATACTTCTGTCAAAATGTTTGATAGAGTTACCTCCTCCAGGCTACAGGTTGGGGTCATGATGTTGAACAAGTGTGCAAAGTTTCAAAGCCATATGTCAAAGGACTTTGAAAATATTTGAGGTATTACAAAAACTTTTATGTAAATTCTAAGTCAAAAAAGGGGCATAATTCTGTCAAAATGCTTGATACAGTTACCTCCTCCTGTCTACAGGTTGGGGTCATGATGGTGAACAAGTGTGAAATGTTTCACAGTCATATGTCCATTGACTTATATTTGAGGTATTACAAAAAACTTTAACATAAGTGGTTACGCCGACGCCAACGCTCTGTGACTACAATAGCTCTACTTATTCATATCGAGTAGTCGAGCTAAAAGTTATGACGGGCTTAGTAATGGATACAAAAATGAAACGCTCGATGAATGTGACCGGAAACTTTGTGTCAACCTATTCTCACTTTATTCAAAATATTCTTTTTCTATTTTCTTCTTCTGTGACGAAACAGATTCTAGAAAATAAACAAAAAGGATATGTATGAAAGAATAAGTTTTAGTTTATTACTTAGGCGTTACTTTTGTGGTAAACCATTTAAGTTAAGGTGATGTCATTTGGTTTCAATTAGAAGATATTTGGTCCCTCACATAAATCAATTTAATGTATACAAGATTGGAATCTAATTGCACAATTATATTGATTTTATACAAAAAGGTCGTCAGGAGGCATTCACTTTTCAATACACACAATCATATTTGAAAATATTCCTTTTAAAAACTGCTCTTTTTTGCTCACATGGTCCTCGCGTGACATCAGACAAATTTGATAAATGAAAAGAACAACCTAATGATAGCACAGGGTCATTTTCCTATATATACATGAGTATATAAAGGAATCATAAGATTATCTTGGATATAGGCTGGTCAGATTTTGATAAAGTTAGTTCAGTGGAGTCCCTTGAACTTGTGGTGTTTTGTTTCTCTAGATATATAGACATTAAGAAGAAACATCTTTGAAAAGTTCTTACAATTTCTTGTTAGCGATACAAGGTCATCATGGATCCTTTATGCCGTTGTTTTTGTTGTCGTTGTTGATTACTGTTGTTTTGTTTGTATGATAATACTTTGTAAAGCAAACACCGCCATTATGTTACATATTCAATTTGAATTGAAGGTCATTTGTAAATATTTAGAGAGTTGAAAATACGTAGAATTAAGAAATAGCGAATTAAACGTTAATAGCATTGATATCTTCTTTTGTAAAATAATCGTTGATTATTCAACCGTTTGTATGAATAAAAAGATTATTTTGATATATGTATAAAGCACTGTTAATGAAAAATTCTAGTATCTAATGTATATCGTAGAACTTCTTTGAAAACGAAAATCAAAGAGATAAAACATAAAAATGTTTAACTGCGCTACGTAAAAATTAACCTTCAATTAATTTCAATATATTGAAACAGCTGATAGATTAACGATAACGCTTTAAAATCGATTGGTTTTCCAGATCAATAAAAACTCCGTCGTTGTATACTATATTAATACATTATTGCGATTTTTATGCATGCATGGATTGTTCTTTATACTAAACCGGAAGCTATTAAACTTCCTTGTCCTATCAGTGTAACCTAATATTTCTTTGTAAACATTGAAACGTAGTTAACGTTTATACATAGCTGTTATGGATATGAATAGACCCTAAAAGAAAAAAATGGCAACATATAAGCATGATCCAAATACTGAAGATGTATTAGATTCAAGTGAAGATGAGGAGGACAATTCAAGTCGGTTTGCTTCAGTTCGCGGACATATGTCTTCAGTGCGTTCAAATGAAAGAAGCAGAGCGTCAATTTCAAGTTTCTTCACTGTCAAAGGTTCTAATGATAAAGAAAGCAATGTTTACAGTGAAATAGAAGATGCTGATGTTATTGACAAAACAGATCACCAGCCTTTCACTGGTCACGTAAATAGAACGGAGGTGGATATAATTAAAGAGAAAAATGAAAAACTATGTTTTAAATGCAAAACAGCAGAGGCAATCCATTTCTGCAGAACCTGCAGATACGGACGTCAATATATGTGTTATGATTGTCTTCAAGGTCACGACGATTGGATTGATGGCCATGATGTTGTCATATTATCGGTGGATATTGAAGGGTATGTTTTGTTGATTTAAGTATCATTTCATGACTGATATTCTGTAAAGATTGTTTACTTTATTCTCTTATGTCAAGGATATCCATGGTGTTTTGCAATCCTTTATTTCATCATTGCCTCACGCTGTTTTGGGTATGAATGTATTTCACAATTTTTATTAAACACTAGTCACTGATAATTCATTTTTACGCACATTTATCTTCAGTTTTCTTGTAGTACGATTACTTCTATAACGGTTTCAACTCTTTTTTTCAGAAATTTGGACCAACAGCCCGAAGACTTAAATAAATTAGGAATGAGCAAAGAAGCAAACTTCAACCGTCTTAAAACATCAAAAATCTCTCGACAACCTTTAAATGTTGACAGTGATGAACAAGATGATGAGAACGAAGGACAGAATACTGAAAATGAAATGCCTCCCTATAAAGAGGGTCAAGCTATCAGCAAGAGATTTTACAAGGACGAGTTATATCCAAGCATAGCACACGAGCTCAGAACAAAGCAGCGTTGTAGAACTGACGGTCAACTTCAAAAGTACGGAATGTACTCGATACGAGTTCTGATACAAAGACATGTGCTATTACAGGGATAGTTCAGCTAGAGAATGAAAAGATGTTACTAGCTGACTCTGAAAACTGTAATCTTAAAATTCTGAATGAAGAAACTTTTAAGATTATTGTTTCTCGTGAACTACCTAGTAATCCATACTTAATGTCCTTCGCTAAAGAAAACAAGGTTATCATCGCATGTATAAACTCCGAGTTTTACTTAGTCGATTTCGCGGACGACAAAGACATTCAGAAATTGTTTGAAATCAAACATTTGTTTAAATGTATTGCTTTTGCTAGAGATGAAGTATGGGGATGCACTTCTGACACAATTGAGGTATATAGCGTTACAGGCGCAGAAATCACAAAGTTTAAACCAACAGGTGTTACCAATATTGAGGACATGTGTGTAAGCAAAGAAGGAGACATTATTTATTGTGCTGACGAGAAGAAAGGTATAGTTGCTATTAACAAACATGGAACTGTTGTAGATATCATATCGGAAAATTTATGTAAACCTCATCGAGTGTGTCTTAGTCCAGAAGGCTACATTTTTGTGACCGAGAAAAATACTGACAGAGTAATGAAAGTGGATATACAGCGAAAGGATGCGATACAAATTGGACGAGAAGATGTGTATACAAACAACAGCCCTATTTCTTTGTGTCATGAGAAGACAAACAATAGACTTATAGTTGCTTTGTGGCAAAGTGACAAAATTCATGTTTATACTTGCCCATGATATATTTGAAGGATTGACAGTATAGACAATATCTAAAGATATAAAATATATTTAAATATAATAACAAAAGCTAACACTTCCTTGTTTATTTCTATATGTTTAAAAGTATTTGAGGCGAAAGAAGTATTTTAGATAATCCAAGATTGGAAACTTAATGTATATTTAACATTGATTGTTTAATATATAATTCACTTGCTTTTTGTGACTTCACATTATAAGAGTTTGAGAAAAAATATTTGTAAAATGTAAAAATGTCGATTAATATGTAATATGCAGTACAAAATTCTTTTAAGCTCCTTCTCGATGTTTTTAGTTCAGCAAGTACTATTTAATCTGTTTAAATTTAGCTAATACATGTATCTGTTTTTAAAGTGTAACGAATTAACGAGTCAACAAAGACTACTTTGGAATGTATTCAGACTTTATTGAGGTTCAATGTGTTATCAAACTACCATTCTGTTAATCATGTGTCTGTTTAACATTTCGTAAAGAAGATATAACAGTCATTGTAACCTGATGTATAATTGATAAAGTTTATCATATTTGTTTGCTGTTTTGATCAATATCATACAAGTTGATTGATTGAAGATATATCTAAGGTCGTTTTAAATGTATAACACTGACAATTTACTGGCAATATATATGTTTTATGGTGAATCGAAATTACCTTCAAAACATGCTGTTTAGACAATTCTGATATATTTTGTTTGAGTTAAGACTCGTTTTTTTTCTGAATAAATCTAATCGACTGCTTTATATTTTGGAAAGAAAATATATTTAATTTAGGTAACTGAAGTTTAGTCCTTCTTCACTAGCCTTGATATTACTGGTACAAATTAATGTTTGTTGTTGGTATAAATTAAGTATCTAATGAAATAAAAGAAATTGAAACGCTTTTACATCTTGTGGATGAGTACATTAACTAAAGCAATTAATTATTGCATTGTGAGGCGGAAATTATTTTCTGAAATCAGGTCATAATAGCCGTTCTTAAAATTTGTAAATTAGGGTAAACAAACTATGATACATGATTTAGGTAAGTGAACACACGAAGGCGAATGAAATAAATGTCTCAGTGATTTTTGTTAAAACGTGTCCTTACAAATGAAATTGTATTGTGTTAGTATTTATCATAATCAGAAACTTAAATTTGCGTCATTTTTTCTGCAATTCCTTATTTGTATCATAATTATAAAGAAAGATAATTGATAATTTTATATTGCAGTTTCTGAAACTCAGTTACTTTGCTGATGATTGATGTCTTTTTTCTGTTTGTTGTTGATGTTTTATTTTTTCCCAACGCAGTTCGATCTTTTAGCCCTTTGTCTGCATCGTTTTTTTGATACCTTTTTTAAATAATAAGAATAACATTCAGAATTACTTGAGATATATCACATCCATTCTCTTTAAAATTCATTGCTTATTTGTTGTGGAATTATCTTCATTATGTTCTGTTACATATACATGTATGTTCTTATAACACGTCTTTATATGTGCAAAGATATCATATAAAATATGGTTTTATCAATGTGTTGTACGCTAATGAACCAATAATGAATAAATATTAAGATACTCCACTGAGGTTTATTAGCCTAAAACATAACATTTTAATTTTTCACATAAATAAACATGAGCACTTTAAACAGAAATATAAATAAAATATAACAGATATACATGAAATACATTGAAAATTGTATGTTTGTGCTTTTTTATTCTTTTTTAGTAATTATTCTAGAAAAACGGAGCGAGCTAATGATCTGAAATTTTGCACATAAGTTATTAGTATAGATCGACATCAAATGAAGTAATAATCTCAAAAAATATTTCCAGTCCCGTCATGTCAAAAAACCTCAGTGAAGTCCCTTTAAGATTAAAACAACATTTTGAAAAGCAATTATAATTACTGGTTCTCCGCGTTACATCGTAAAGAGGAGAACCATTGTCTAGCTGTAAGGGATTACATCAACCGGTTTTGAAGGCTTGAATGTATTCAAGCATACAATCATGTGCATTTTATACACGGGGATATATACCCGCGGCAGAGTAGGAAAATCAGTTCTAGCGATATTTCTCTAACGAGATCACCAGCATTCAAATTCAATATTTATAATGTTATAAGATTATGTTAAAGACATAATTAAGCAAACTGTTTTATAAGGAAAAAATTACAAAGTTAGTAAAATAAATTATTGAATGTATAGTTTTATTTCAAGTTTGGATATTTTGAACAGAACTTGCAATTTTGATTAAGGAAAATATAATGATATGTTTATATTTGATATATATGTTAGAATGTCTGAGCACGGTCCGTTGTTCAATATTCCGAGGAATAGTCTGAGGAGGATCACTTTTGTGTTTCCTCAATGCATGCCCACGGATTCTACGGTTCCTCTTACATTTAAAAGGGGGTTTACGCAGGCGGCAAGTATTCCTGAGACGAATATACGATCGAACCTATTAAGTTTTGTTTATTTTACATTTTTTTCATAAAATGTCTTGGACATAGTACAACAGTTTTGATCGTGATATGCTTTATACATATGTATTTCTCATTGTGATATATCCTCCTGTTTTAACAATCTCGTAATAAAATAACCTCACTACTATGCACAACATAGTTGTTTGTTTATTGAAAGTTAGAGTAAGACCGTAAATTTGAAAAAGTTATTACAAATTTATATTAATATGATGAATGTACGAGTATTTGTCTTTTTAAAGAAAGTTTTGTACTCAGTCTGGATAAGTTCTAGCAATTTATTACATCATATTGTCAATATACATGTACAATATATGCGGTTAAATTAGCATTACCGTTTTAAATAAATAGTTGCAAAAGGCTTAAATGGAAGGTTTAAGAATAAGATATTTTTCAAAACTTTAAATAATGTGTATGCTTATTCCAGTTCCTCTCCAGTTTTCTCCGCTTTGGTCAATGCATATTGACAATATCGATATAAAATTCATTTCTGTTAATAAAAAATGCAATCGGTCTTTATCATAATTTATGTCATGATCGTAATTCATTGTAATTTAATCAAACACTTATTTACGTCATGTTATTCTCATTACTTAACATTGATAACATGATATCATTATTTATAACTTGTTTATCTATGGTTTAGATTGGCAGGAAGTAATATTGTTTTATTTCATTTAATAAATTTTAGGGAAAACGCTTCTAAATATGTACATGTAGTTTTATCACACACAAACGCATTTCCAAAAACATTCAGCTATACAGGACCTCGGAAATAACAAACAGTTTGGCACCAAACAAGTTTAGTAAGGACGTAGGGATTGAAAACAAAACTTTTATCTTTTTAAATATCAGAACTTTATCCTTAGCCATAATTAGGTTATTATCAACTGTAAGCTATAATTTGTCAATCTGCAACTTGGCATACTGTAAGTTACTGCTATTTAGATAAACAAATTAGAACAATCGTGTACTTCTATTATTTGAATACTGCACAATTAAAAACATGACCTACAAAACTAGCAAACGATACTCCATTTACAATATACTAAAAAATAGTCATATTAACTATGATAGACATTCAGAGACAAAATTTTTGCACATTTTTATTTGATTGTAATATACAAATACTGTGAACATTCATTCTATTTCCTTGTCATCTTTTATTTAATCCCATTGCTTTACCTCTAAGTATATTTCATAGTACAATGCAATTTCCGTATTTTACTTTGATCAGTATCTTGTCTAAATGTTTACTATGTAAAAGGAAATTTAATCATTTTCTTGTAATTTTTTTAATAATCGTTTCTTTTAAATTAAATACAAATTGTACTCAAAACCGGTTCATATTATTATTGCTAAATTATCATCATTTTAGATATTCAATTTTTAAAAAACGGTTATCATACAAAATGTCAAGATGTTTTCTGAGAAACTGTTTTAAGTTAAGATAGATGGCTATTTCTTGAAACTTTTTTTCTTCAACTTTACACGTGATAAGATTAAACGATATTTTGGAAAATAATTCTGCTTATATGCAGGCCCAGATGTGTACTTACAGCTTTTTGTTCTTTAACAATGGTATATAGTCGTTGCTTTTTTCTCCAGTTCTTTTCAACTTGTATATGTACATCTGTGCATTTTTGTAATAAACTTTTACTTCATTGTGTTTCTTCATTTATTTTTTATTTATTTTTTGCATATACTTGTCTTACTTCATTTCTTTTTATGATTAATAGAATACTTCAATAGCAAAATAAACATTTCAAGTGTTTTATTGATAATTTATCGTCTTGCAAAACGGAGAAGCTTTATAAATTATCTGCATAGTGTGACATAATCGGAATGATCTATTTTCTCGTTATCAGTCTGAAATGTTAAACTGTTGTACTGTTATCATGTACAAGCAAATGTGTACTTCAGACTCTTATTGACAATTTATGTTATTAACATTTAAAACTAAATATGGATATTTTCTCATACTTATACCCATCACTCTATAAATAAATAAAGGCCTTGAAAACAACTGAATGCTGTAACTATAAATATATAACATTTAAAATGTTGAATAAATTCTATTTCAAGACCAACTCATTTAATTATTACATGAAAAACAGTAATTTAAAAGCGTTTTTAAGACCAAGATTCGGATGCTATTGATTTTACAAAAGGAAGCTGTTTTATCATTGCTATTAACTCGAACAGTGAGCATGTCCTTAGAACTAAGTAGAAATAATGTTTTAGTTTTATGACCTCATGAATACAATTTAAACTACATAAATAAACAGAAGGTGCTATTGTGACGGACTTAGATCCACGTTCAATAGTCGATATTCGGACATGCGCATTAAATGCGCAATAAAATCTTATAGTAATATTAATTATAATAAGTCATGTTCTTACTTGACTATCGTATTTAACTAAATGCCCCTGAATCTTTTCTTACAAATTATAAAATATTACTGAACAGATGTTATAGGTGGTTTCCTATCTAATTTAAGCATTCTATGCCTTTTCTTGCTATTATGCTTGTACTGACTGTTGTTGACTTTTAAGGAATAACACTATTGTTATTATGATGTTTTTTTTTAATATTAGAAATTATTACAAGCTATGCATTATTTGAGATGAAATAACAATTAGTTAACCTGTGTCTTTTTTTTATAGCATATACAATGTAACAGAGCCCTAAGGCTCTATTAAAGTAAGTACGTAAGATCTGAAATGCATACTACCTATACAAATACATACAGCTGATAGATTGTGCGTCTTTAAAAATGTAAAAAGGTTTTTTATGTACAAAATACCATGTTCCCTTATTATCCATGCCAATACAAAATTTCAATTCCGTCGACGAATGATTTCAAGACATTTTTTTATGATAATAATAAGTAGGTTTCATTAAGATATATCTTATCTTATAGCTAATATTTTCTTTGTTTCCCTACTCTTTTATCACTTAAGCTTCTTATTTTTATGCTTTAAACATTTATCTTTACGGTTATAATTTGTACTTGAATGTTATCATTTTTACATGAAAACAGAAAGTTACCTACCGCCAAAATGTTTAACTAGACTTATTGTTATTATACATCAATATGACGGGCTAAGTTATGGATACAAAAATGAAACGCTCGATGAATGTGTAAATGTAAAATAATCGTTGATTATTCAACCTTTTGTATGAATAAATAAATTATTTTGATTCAAGTATAAAACGCTGTTAATTTTCTTTGATTAATGAAAATTTCTAGTTCTTAATGTGAAATCATTCAGATCTGTTGAGATCATTGTGGAACTTCTTTGAAAACGAAAATCAATCAGATAAAAAATGTTCAACAGCAGCGTTACGCAACAATTAATCTACAATTAATATCAATACATTGAAACTGTTGATAGTTTAACGAAAACACTTTAAAATCGATTGGTTTTTAGATCAATAAAAACTCCGTCGTTGTATACTATATTAATACAATATCGCGATTTTAATGAATACATATATTGTACTTAAGAGGAAGCTATTAAACTTCCTTGTTCTATCAGTGTAACATAACATTTCTTTGTAAACATTGAAACGGAGTTAACGTTTATACATAGCTGTTATGGATATGAATAGACCCTAAAAGAAAAAAAATGGCAACATATAAGCATGATCCAAAAACTGAAGATGTATTAGATTCAAGTGAAGATGAGGAGGACAATTCCAGTAGGTTTGCTTCAGTGGACATATGTCTTCAGTGCGTTCAAATGAAACTAGCAGACCGTCAATTTCAAGTTTCTTCACTGTCAATGGTTCTAATGATAAAGAAAGCAATGTTTACAGTGAAATAGAAGATGCTGATGCTATTGATAAAACAGATCATCAGCCTTTCATTGGTCACGTAAATAGAACGGAGGTGGATATAATTAAAGAGAAAAAATGAAAAACTATTTCTGCAGAACCTGCAGATACGGACGTCAATATATGTGTTATGTTTGTCTTGAAGGTCACGACGATTGGATTGATGGCCATGATGTTGTCATATTATCGGTGGATATTGAAGGGTATGTTTTGTTAATTTAAGTATCATTTCATGACTGATATTCTGTAAAGATTGTTTACGTTATTCTCTTCTGTCAAGGATATCCATGATGTTTTGAAAACCTTTATTTCATCAATGCCTCACGCTGTTTTGGGTATGAATGTAATTCACAATTTTAATGAAACACTAGTCATTAATAATTCATTAAGACGCACATTTATCTTCAGTTTTTTTTGTAGAATGATTACTTCTATAACGGTATTAAACTCTTTTTTCAGAAATTTGGGCCAACAGCCCGAAGAGTTAGATAAATTAGGAATGAGCAAAGAAGCAAAGTTCAACAATCATAGGACGTCAAAATTCTCTCGACAACCTTTAAATGTTGACAGTGATGAACATGATGATGAGAACGAAGGACAGAATACTGAAAATGCAATGCCTCCCTATAAAGAGGGTCAAGCTATCAGCAAGAGATTTTACAAGGACGAGTTATATCCAAGCATAGCACACGAGCTCAGAACAAAGCAGCGTTGTAGAACTGACGGTCATCTTCAAAAGTACGGAATGTACTCGATACGAACGAGTTCTGATACAAAGACATGTGCTATTACAGGGATAGTTCAGCTTAAGAATGAAAAGATGTTACTAGCTGACTCTGAAAACTGTAATCTTAAAATTCTGAATGAAGAAACTTTTAAGATTATTGTTTCTCGTGAACTACCTAGTAATCCATACTTAATGTCCTTCGCTAAAGAAAACAAGGTTATCATCGCATGTATAAACTCCGAGTTTTACTTAGTCGATTTCGCGGACGACAAAGACATTCAGAAATTGTTTGAAATCAAACATTTGTTTAAATGTATTGCTTTTGCTAGAGATGAAGTATGGGGATGCACTTCTGACACAATTGAGGTATATAGCCTTACAGGCGCAGAAATCTCAAAGTTTAAACCAACAGGTGTTACCAATATTGAGGACATGTGTGTAAGCAAAGAAGGAGACATTATTTACTGTGCTGACGAGAAGAAAGGTATAGTTGCTATTAACAAACATGGAACTGTTGTAGATATCATATCGGAAAATTTATGTAAACCTCATCGAGTGTGTCTTAGTCCAGAAGGCTACATTTTTGTGACCGAGAAAAATACTGACAGAGTAATGAAAGTGGATATACAGCGAAAGGATGCGATACAAATTGGACGAGAAGATGTGTATACAAACAACAGCCCTATTTCTTTGTGTCATGAGAAGACAAACAATAGACTTATAGTTGCTTTGTGGCAAAGTGACAAAATTCATGTTTATACTTGCCCATGATATATTTGAAGGATTGACAGTATAGACAATATCTAAAGATATAAATATATTTAAATATAATAACAAAAGCTAACACTTCCTTGTTTATTTCTATATGTTTAAAAGTATTTGAGGCGAAAGAAGTATTTTAGATAATCCAAGATTGGAAACTTAATGTATATTTAACATTGATTGTTTAATATATAATTCACTTGCTTTTTGTGACTTCACATTATAAGAGTTTGAGAAAAAAATATTTGTAAAATGTAAAATGTCGATTAATATGTAATATGCAGTACAAAATTCTTTTAAGCTCCTTCTCGATGTTTTTAGTTCAGCAAGTACTATTTAATCTGTTTAAATTTAGCTAATACATGTATCTGTTTTTAAAGTGTAACGAATTAACGAGTCAACAAAGACTACTTTGGAATGTATTCAGACTTTATTGAGGTTCAATGTGTTATCAAACTACCATTCTGTTAATCATGTGTCTGTTTAACATTTCGTAAAGTAGATATAATAGTCATTGTAACCTTATGTATAATTGATAAAGTTTATCATATTTGTTTGCTGTTTCGTTCAATATCATACAGTCAAGTAAAGAGTTGATTGATTGAAGTTATATCTAAGGTCGTTTTAAATGTATAACACTGACAATTTACTGGCAATATATATGTTTTATGGTGAATCGAAATTACCTTCAAAACATGCTGTTAAGACAATTCTGATATATTTTGTTTGAGTTAAGACTCGTTTTTTTTCTGAATAAATCTAATCGACTGCTTTATATTTTGGAAAGAAAATATATTTAATTTAGGTAACTGAAGTTTAGTCCTTCTTCACTAGCCTTGATATTACTGGTACAAATTAATGTTTGTTGTTGGTATATATTAAGTATCTAATGAAATAAAAGAAATTGAAACGCTTTTACATCTTGTGGATGAGTACATTAATTAAAGCAATTAATTATTGCATTGTAAGGCGGAGATTATTTTCTGAGAATCAGGTCATAATAGCCGTACTTAAAATTTGTGAAATAATGGTAAACAAACTATGATACATGATTAAGGTTAGTGAACACACAAAGGTGAATGAAATAACTTTAGATATAAAAAAGTAAAAAGTAATTGCATTTTATAGTCTAAGTTTCATGCTGACGCACGTTCACCGACTTTACAGCTATTACCCCTGGTCATAGGGCTACTGGTATCTATCTATCAATCTCCCTGGGGAGTCCTTTAACTCCTCTTAGTGCAGCCGGCACTTGGCGCAACGGAATTATACCACCCTCGCAGGTACCCATTTACACCTGGGTGAAGTGAAGCAATCGCAGGTAAATTTCTTGCTCAAGGAAATTAGCAGTGCCCCTGGTGGGGTTCGAACCCGGGATATCTCAATGATTTTTGTTAAAACGTGTCCTTACAAATGAAATTGTATTATATTTGTATTTATCGTAATCAGAAACTTAAATTTGCGTCATTTTTTCTACAATTCCATATTTGTATCATAATTATAAAGAAAGATAATTGATAATTTTATATTGCAGTTTCTGAAACTCAGTTTACTTTGCTGATGATTGATGTCTTTTTTCTGTTTGTTGTTGTTGTTGTTGAATCTTTTAGCCCTTTGTCTGGGTTGTTTTTGATACCCTTTTTAAATAATAAGAATAACATTCAGAATTCCTTGAGATATATCACACCCATTCTCTTTAAATTGCATTACTTATTTGTTGTGGAATTATCTTCATTATGTTCTGTTACATATATGTCCTTATAACACGTCTTTTTATATGCGCATATATATTTCATATGAGCCGTGCCACGACAAAACCAACATAATGGGTTTGCGACTAGCATGGATCCAGACCAGCCTGCGCATCCGCGCAGTCTGATCAGGATCCATGCTGTTCGCTTACTAACCCTATAACAAGTAGAGAAACTGATAGCGAACAGCATGGATCCTGATCAGATTGCGCGGATGCGCAGGCTGGTCTGGATCCATGCTAGTCGCAAACCCATTATGTTGGTTTTGTCGTGACACGGCTCATATAAAATATGGTTTTATCAATGTGCTGTACGCTTATGAACCAATAATAAATAAATATTAAGAGTTTTTGAAAAGCAATTACAATTACTGGTTCTCCGCGTTACATCGTTTAGAGGAGAACCATTGTCTAACTGTAACGGATTACATGGCTTGAATGTATTCAAGCATACATGTGTATTTCATACACGGGTATATATACCCGCGGCAGAGTATAAAAATCAGTTCTAAGATTCTGTTAAAGACATAATTAAGCAAACTGGTTTATAAGGAAAAAAATACAAAGTTAGTAAAAAAAAATATTGAATGTATAGTTTTATTTCAAGTTTGTATATTTTGAACAGAACTTGTATTTTGATTAAGGAAAATTTATTGATATGTATATATTTGATATATATGTTAGCATGTCTGAGCACGGTCCGTTATTCAATATTCCGAGGAATAGTCTGAGGAGGTTTACTTTTGTGTTTCCTCTGTGCATGCCCACGGATTCTACGGTTCCTCTCACAAAAAGATAAAAGGGGTTTTACGCAGGCGGCAGACTATACGATCGAACCTGTTTAGTTTTGTTTATTTTACATTTTATCACGAAATGTCTTGGGTATAGTACAACAGATTTGATCGTGATATGCTTTAAACATATGTATTTCTCATTGTGATATATCCTCCTGTTATAACGATCTCGTAATAAAATAACCTCGCTACAATGCACAACATAGTTGTTTGTTTATTGAACGTTAGAGTAAGACCGTAAATTTTAAAATTTATTACAAATTTATATTAATTGTACGAGTATTTGTCTTTTTTAAGAAAGTTTTGTACTCAGTCTGGATAAGTTCTAGCAATTTATTATTAATTAATAATTAATTAATATATGCTATTAAATTAGCATTACCGTTTTAAATAAATAGCTGCAAAAGGCTTAAATGGAGATATTTTTCAAAACTTTAGATAATGTGTATGCGCATTCCAATTTTCTTCGCTTTGGTCAATGCATATTGACAACATCGATTATAATATTATAAAATTCATTTCTGTTAATAAAAAATGCAATCGGTCTTTATCATAATTTATGTCATGATCATAATTCATTGTAATTTAACACTTATTTACGTCATGTTATTCTCATTACTTTACATTGATAACATGATATCATTATTTATAACTTGTTTTCCTATGGTTTAGATTTGCAGGAAGTAATATTGTTTTATTTCATTTAATAGATCTTAGGGAAAACGCTTCTAAATATACACATGCAGTTTTATCAAACCCTGAAACGTTCAATTATTTCTCACTGGTGTTTCATGGTGACAGTGAAAACATATTTAATTGCAAAACAAATTCCGTGAAATGTATACAAATGACATGTTAATGACTATCATAGAATATCAACAAGTTAACCAACGTACATGGTAACTGAAAAACTGTGGAAGGTAATGTGTAGAGGGTCGCTAAACTCAACCATAACACTGTTCATAAGTTGAAGTAGACTTTCACAATATAAGATCAAGGAGTACGGTCGAAATTGGTGGAAATGGGAAAAAATCTGACATTATACATATGAATGTCAAAAAGATATACCATATTTTTGTACTTGGCATTGTAATAAGGTCGAGACAACCTTCTAAGTTATGCAATTAGATTTTGAAATACCCCCTCTCACAACACACACACATGCACGCAGGCACGCACACACACACACACACACACACACGCACACACACACCAACACACACACACACACACACACACACACACACACCTTTCCAAAGACATCCAGCTACACAGGACCACGGAAATAACAACAGTTTGGCACCAAACAAGTTTAGTAATGGCGTAGGGATTGAAAAGAAAACATTTATCTTTTTAGATATCAGAACTTTATCCTTTGTCATAATTATGTTATCATCAACTGTAAGCTATAATTTGTCAATCTGCAACTTGGCATACTGTAATTTAGTGCTATTTAGATACACGAATAAGAACAATTGTGTACTTCTATTGTTTAGTACTGCACACTTTAAAACATGACCTACAAAACTAACGAACGGTCAATTTACAAAATACTAAACAAATGTCATATTAACTATGATAGACATTCAGAGACAAAATTGTTGTACATTTTTATTTGACTGCAATCTACAAATACTGTGAACATTTATTCTATTTCCTTGTCATCGTTTATTTAATCCCATTGCTTTACCTCTAAGTATATTTTGTAGGACAATGCATTTTCCGTTTTTAACTTTGATCAGTATCTTGTCTAAATGACTATGTAAAAGGAAATTTAATCATTATGTTGTATTTTTTTTAAATAATACAAAGTGTACTCAAAACCGGGTCATATTATTATGGCTTTATTTATCATCATTTCAGATTTTCAATTTTAAGAAAGTTTTCATACAAAATGTCAAGACGTTTTCATTCCTGCGAAACTGTTTTAAGTTGAAATAGATGGATATTTCTTGAAACATTTTTTTTTTCAACTTTTTTTGGGGATATATTCTGCTTATAGGCCCAGAGGTGTTCTTTAACAATGTGAAGTAAATCAGGTCGTTGCTTTTTTCTCCAGATCCTTTCAACTAGTATATGTATATGTGTGCATTTTTTTAACGAACTTTTACTTCATTGGGATTTTTTATTTAATATTTTACTTATTTTTTTTGCATATAATCGTCTTACTTCATTTCTTTTTATGGTTTATAGAATACTTCAATAGCAAAATAAACATTTCAAGTGTTTTATTGAATTTATCGTCTTTATAACTTATCTGCATAGTGCCGTGACATAATCAGAATTATTTATTATCTCGTTATCAGTCTGAAATGTAATGTTATACTGTTGTACTGTTATTATGTACAAATAAAAGGGTACTTTAGACTCATATTGACAATTTATGTTATGAACATTTAAAAATAAATATGGATATTTTCTCATACTTGGGGCGTCCGTGGTCGATGGTTAAGGTCGTTGACTTCAAACCACTTGCCCCTCACCACTGTGGGTTCGAATCCCGACAGGGACTTGGGATTCTTTTATGTGAGGAAGCTATCCAGCTGGCTTACGGAACGTCGGTGGTTCTACTCAGGTGCCCGTTCGTGCCTGAAATAATGCAGGGAGGGCACCTGAGGTCTTCCTCCAATAGTAAAGCTGAAACGTCGCCAAATGACCTATACTGTGTCAGTGTGACATAAAACCCAAACAAAACAAACAAATTCTCATACTTATACCCATTACTCTATAAATAAATAAAGGCCTTAAAAATAACTGAATGCTATAACTATAAATAAATAACATTTTAAATGTTGAATAAAGCGCAACTTGTAACAAATAATATTTCAAGACCAACTCATTTAATTATTACATGAAAAACAGTAATTTAAAAGCGTTTTTAAGACCAAGATTCAGATGCTATTGATTTTTCAAAAGGAAGCTGTTATATCATTGCTATAAACTCGAACAGTAAGCATGTATTTAGAACTAAGTGGAAATAATGTTTTAGTTTTATGACCTCATGAATACAATTTA